AGTAATAATAACATTGCGTATCCTTGCTAATATCTTACATTATGCTTTACATAGCGAATTAAACAACTTTGTAAATATAATTTTTTTTTACTTGTTATGTAGTTTGAATGAGAAAATTTTGTGATTCCATGAAGAGAAAGTGGACCATGTAGTTCTAAAAATTAAAGTATGTATTCAATAGAGCTGAGGAAATTGTTCATGGAGGAATGATAGTGCTTATTACACCATTTTCAAGTTATGTACATCTCATGAAATTCTTTGGCACTAGTCTTACGGATTTGGTGAATGAGGTAAGTAAATATTTTGAGTTTAAGTTATATATATCGTCACTTTTAAAAAAAAACTACTCCATAGGCTAACCTAAAGGCAAGGGTGGACTTGCCATTATATTAAAGTTATGGGTTCGACATAACATTGGCTCAGATTTGATATAATATTTGTGATAAGAAATTCATTTAAAATGTATAAATAACATATCTCGCATTAGGTTATTATCTTTTCATCTTACACCGTAACTAGTATGCTAAGTCGTGATATATTTTAGAAGATAAGTTTGTAAGTATATATTTGGCTCAGACCTTGTATATATGTTCAAAATTTCACTAAACATGTACAAATAAATGTTATAATTCGTCTCTATCAAGACATGTTTTCAAAGAAATAATAATTAATATATACTCTTCAAGTTGATTTACTTTTGAAAAATAATGTACTAAGAAATTTGAAAATGACTACTCATCGTACATTATTTTTTTCCCCAGACATTGTCGTTTTCTTTTGTTTATTAGTTGGTCGTGGTACGAAATATATTGATTCAATTAATTCAAATTTATGTGGTTTATATAATTTATTTAAAAGGGATATTATAGTCTCAAATTCGTGGGTTAGCGTGTATTTAAATTCTTTATATAATCTTGAGTAATTCTCATTTTTAAAGTAAACTTTTAGGGTTGAAATAAATTTAAGAATTATTTATTTAATATCGTATAGGCCCGTCCTAGTTAATTATTTACTTAACGTTGAGAATGCACTTAAATTCTTTATATAATTATAAACGATCCTCACATCTTGAATAAATTAACTTATGAGGTTAAATAAGACTCAAAGTTCATTTCTTTAATAAGGGAGATAGAGATAAATCAAGCTAAAATTTTGAATTTATAAATTCCTAATTTTAAACAATGTCTGAATTCTGAATAAATCATTTCTAAAGCGTATATTATATAATTCAGGACTATGAAGAGATAATGTAACATATCTCGCCGGCCAAGTACTATGTTTTGCCTAATGTTTTTGGATTTTCCTCATTTGTTTCACTTTATGTTCTCTCTCTACAAAGAAAAATTAAAAGTGTCTTTGTTAATTTTTCTAAATTGGCCTCCCTTTATTGCTCTTTTTCTCCCCAGTAATAACTAATTTTTACCTTTTCCTCATTAATTGTCCTTTTAACTTTCTTATTTTTCGCTTAAAATTTATGCTAAAAAATTCAAAATCCTTTTCCAAGAATGTCTTCTTGTGATTTTTGAAACAATAAGAGGCCAAGAACTATGTTTTTCCTAATCTTATCAACTTTTAAGATAAAAAAAATACCCTCCACATGAAAAATCTCAACTTATAACTTTTAAGATAAAAAAATACCTTCCACGTGAAGAATCTTTAACTTATAACTTTTAACCTATAAGTGATAAGTTATAATTAAATTCACCCGAGTAGATTCTAAGTAATCAACTAATCATATGCATAATATAACATTATTAACATCCCATGTACCATTATATATTCACTGTCTAATAAAATCCATGCATTTAAAAAAAAAAAAAAAAAAAACTATGCGCCCTTCTAATAAAAAATATTAATAATAATTTATCACCGTATAGTGGTGAGACCTTTATATTAATGAATAAAATTACAAATCTACGGGGAGCTTAAGCTCGACCCATTCCAGTAGCTGCTTCACAAAAACTAAGGTTCTGATAAAAACTATACAAATTTTGCAGAAATTTACAAGTCCAGTGTGATAAACAAAATTAGCTATAATATATCAATTGGATCAGTTCTATACAGGGGCGGCTCAACGTAATTTGAGGCCTAAAACGAAATTTTAATTGAGGCCTAAAATCTATATAAATATCAAATATAGTATTTTATTTTTTAAAACTTTTTAAGTGCAAATTATTACTTGATATCTTTTCTTAAGTGCAAATTATTA